AGTCTTCTATTTCTAATAATGGCTACCTTTGCACAGCTTGCAAAGGAAGGGATAATGGAAAGGGTAGGATTTTTCAATGTGCTTATGTCAAATACAGAGAAGTAAAAAGGTGAACAAAAACCTCCAGCTGCTTTTGAAGAGAGTGAATCCTATATTAGTCAGCTTAATAAAGTGGTTCCAGTCTGTTTCATTCACCAAGCTGAATCCTAGCCCACCATACGGCATTGTCAAAAACAAATCTGCAATTAAATCACCTAATCCACTGCTTTTTCTTTTATTTTTATAAATTCCATCATTTCTCAAGGTGAAAATCAAAAGTTTATTGACACAGCAAAAGATTTAGAAGGATTCCTGGAAGCTGCAGCTGGAAAACAGAGGAGCAAAACCAATACAGGGAACAGGACCCACACTGCTCAGTTTTAATGACCTAATATCTTGGTGAAGTTAGACATTTTCCTAGACATTTTCCCAGACATTTTCCCACCATTTTATATGGTTTCTTACCTGCCTAAAATATGGAAAAGAGCAAAGCATTTGAGGATGCCTAATAAGTAAGTTCAGAGTATTATTACTTACTCAGTTGCATTTGATTAGAGCTATTCTACTTGGGATCTCAGGCAATAGCTACACAAAGTTTTCTATTTTTAAACTACAGTTTGTTTATTCTTCAGTGACTAAAACCAAATCTCTTACCTGTGGTCCAAGAATAAAAATTTCCATTCCAAACTATGCCTTGACGTAAATTCTTCACATGGCTCTTCAACATTGCAGAGCTCCTGCAAAACAGTTGGCACATTCAGACATTCACTTCTATGAAATGCCAAAAGGAGCCCTCTAACAAGGGCATCTTGGTATAACAAACCTTAGCAAAATACAGGGCTTTTAAAGCACTTGACTTATTTTCCTCTAAGTAATGTATAAGCCTTGCTTTACAGATGCATAAACTGATGAAAAGTGGCTGAATCATTTACCCTGGGCTGAATTTCAGAGATAGGACAAATAGTCCAAGGGCCTCATCTTGCAGTCTGTAGGCAAAATTCCGCAGCTTGTTGTAAATGTTAGTATCTGAAGATGGATGACAGCACCAGGTCCATCCTCAAACTGAGCTGGCTAATGCTCTCTCGAGCAAGCAGCACCTATGGTCATTATCCCTGCCATCACTGTGCTGCGCCACAGGACACTTTTACAGACCAGCAGAGAGTCCCTGAAAAATGCTGTTCACAGTGTTTCAAGATGCGGGTGGCCTTCTTACACAAAGGAGCGGTGGGATGTATTTCTTTAAAGGCTGCAACTTTTCCAACGGTTTAGCTCGTCACCTTGTACTGGTGCTTCCTGGGCCGACTGCTCTGAGACACCCCAGCACACGACTGCCTCTTCTCAAAAGCAACTCCCGCTTTATGCCTCGTAATTCCAAAATACATACTTACGTCATCTCCCACTCACAAACACAGCAGCGTCCTCTCTCATCTACCAACCCTCTGCGCAATCTGTGCTGCTGAACGTACTCTTTGAGAGGCTGCTGCAACGCCGGCCGATCCCCGCGCGAAAGGGAAGATGCACTCACAGAGCTCTCACCTTTAAGAACTGCGGTGTGACAAGACGAACAGTTGCTACGAGGCAAATCTGCTCCTCCGTGGCTGACCTGAAAGCTCGTGCAATCGCTGACTCAAAGCCATTACAGGAGGGTGTAGGCACTAGACACAACCAGACAATTTATTTAAGAAGAAGAGGCAGGAGAGCTTTCTTTTCGTGTTAAGACAGGTACAATGACTGATGAAACCCAAGTAACAAACTCCTCCTACCCACAAGGCGATGCCACACTGATACACGCTGATGTTATTTAAAGCATGATCCTTTAGGCTCCGAGTTACACCGTTGTAACCACCTACCCCTGGCTTGCAGGGAAGCTTCATAAGACAGCCCTGAGCAGCTCACAGTGTGCAGCTACAGTCTCCTTGTCAGCCCTTCTCCAGCTCAACATTTGCAAGATCCAAGGTTTTACACATTTCTCAAATGATTTAATCTTTAAAAAGTGTCACTTGATTGCCACGAGTGACACAGAATAGCATGATTTACTGGTTATTTGAATAAGTAGGCTGCTTTACAATTGGCAGTAGGTCAAATGGAGGCAGGATCAGCCTGGCATCACTTCTTTAAGCACAGCACGCCGAAGAGCGTACTCTTCTGACCAACAGCCTTCCCACCACTTTTACATGAAAAATATCTCGAACATGTTCACAGCTTATTCCATCCCTGCTGATTACGGGGCATTTTCAGCTGAAATAAGGCCTTTAGGGGGCTACAGATCAACACACAATTTAAAGGAGAGAGGTAGAGAGGTAAAGGTAGGCTGTGGCAGTAACTTACCATGAGTAAAATATTTAAAATCCACTACAAATTTCACATATTCATACATCAGGGGTTCATTTGGATCTAAGCTGCCTCTTGCTAAATGGCAGCAAAACTCTATTTGTTTTTCCGCTGAAATGAGAGAAAGAGAGGGAGACATACACAATGTTACTGGAAGTCTGCACTTTAGCATGCTCCATCTATTGACTCTATCTAGGTGTGTATACCAACCCTGCTGCTGTGGTATCTGAGCACACCCTGCTGGGATGCTCTTGATACCCGTAAGTAAATATATAACTACTAGGAGCAATGATCAGCTGGTTCTGCTTAAGGAAATGTATTCTCACCCTTTCTCCCATGGCTTTACAGCCACCCCTGGGCATGAAGCCCTGGCAATATCGTATTTTCCTGTGACCTCGTGCACACGTGATTTCATGTAAAGCTGTTAAGTGATATTGCAGTCCTCTGCTCCAGCACTGCTCAGTAGAACCCAGATCCAAAGGGCACTGAAGTCGACCTAAGCCTTTTCATTAATGGTGGAGGGCACCATGCCAAGCTCTTATTCAGTTTTCTGCCCAAGGTCTGAATTCCATGGATTAGGCTATGCCGTCTGCAGCCAGAAGGAAACCAACCCCAGGGCAGAGCTTCAGCACAAGGGCTGCCCAGTTCCCACTGATGGCTACGGGGCAGCAGAGAGGGGAGGCTAGCACTGCCCGGCCATGGTGAGCCCAGTGGGAAAGGGGCTCCCAAACAGGCTTGGTGAAACGTGGCTGTTAGGAAGACGCTGCTGCCTGCTCTGGTGCTGGGGACATTTTCTGGGGGAAAGGGACATTTTGGGGGTGGGACAGAAGCCAGCAGTAGAGATCCGGATGGACTGTTCAGAGAGGAAGGCTGTTGCTTAAATTACATGTAGGGTTTCTCAGGTGTCCTGAGACATGCAAGCTTCCTAAGGAATAAAGACTCTGCCAAAACCCTTTGGGATTTCTCCTACCCTTTTCCTTCCCCCAAGCCCCTCACTCCTTTCACAGGCTCAGTCCAGCATCCTGCCCTGGGAAAAATATCTAATGAGGGCAGCTTCACTGTCCTATGATGCAAAGCAGACAGTAAAACACAGACTGTCCAAATCAAAGACCAAGTACTGGGAGCATGTAGGAACATTAGATGATGTGCTGCATTAATAACCAGAAATACTAACTGCGGCAAAACAGAAGTGGCAGGCAGGAGAATTAAATAGCTGGAGAGCCCTATGCAGGCTCCACTGGGAGCTGTTTGCCTTTGGCAAATTTCCCTGATGGACAGACGAGAGCGGAGCTTACCGTTTAGAAAATCAGCTGCAATGGGATCTGTCATGAGCACATGTGGAGAAAGGAGCTTGTACACCTCGCTCTGCTCCCGCTCAGGCAGAAAGTTTAATATATTTTGGTCCACCAAATCTGACTGATACAAAAGAATGCTTTGTCATGTTCAGCAGTACAGCCTGACACAACCACACACCTTTCCATCCCGCAGCAGAGCACAGACACTGCTGTTCTAGCGCAGATGCTTAAGACAAGGAAGCCCAGTCAATCTGCAGGTGGATCTAGGGCAAAATATAGCCCTTAGGTTATTTTACCCCAGGGTTGCTATCTATTTGCAAAAGGTTGAATGGGTCCCAGAGGTTGCCCTTCAGTTCAGCCAGATGCAAGCTGGAGAAGAATCTCTGGTACCACAGGAATACAACACGATGAGAAATATCATATCAAAATGAAAATTTCAAACATTTCCCCTTGGAAGCATAAGACAGAAGTGGGAGAGCTCCTCCTCACATCCTCCATTTGTCTTTTAGGCTGAACATCTGGCAAAGTCAGCTCAACCTGCAAGTGTTTCAGTGCTGATAAACCCACACATCCTGACTAAAGGGGTTCTACCAAAATGTCAGCACGTATTCGTTTCTTTGCACACCAGGGCATTCAGCCAGGTTAACCATGTGCTCAAATTTGCCCTCACATAGCGTCACTGGTGCCTCATGCTTGGCACCAGATAAAAATGAAAAATGTTTTTGAGGGAACAGTAGAAACTTCTGTACCCAACAGCTAACCGATGTCTAGAAATTCTCCCAGAAAACTCTGAGGCCACATATTTGTTACTAAAGACCATGGGCTCCAAGTAGAAAAATGCAATGACATTAGAAAAGCATACATTCAGTCCTGAAATAATCTTTAAATTATCTGAGAAGAGCTTCAGCATGCACAGATTTCACAAGCATGAGATTTTCCATATACCTGGTGGGATAAACACCACCCAGACCCTCCTTCAGACGTGCTGCCAAGTGGTGAGCTATGAGTACAGTGATTTTGCAGAGGTGGGTTTTTTTTAGCTAACTCGCAGACCCTGACAGAGAACTTGTTATTCACAGGAGCTTGAGAAACTCCCTAAGAGTTTGTTGGTTTATCCCCCACCCACAGTGAGTTGCCTCTTTGGTTGGACAAAACCAAGCCCCAGCCCTGCAGTGACGAGGCTGCGCTAAGGCAGGGGAATGATTCTTCAACATATTGCGTTGTCAGAACTTACCGGTAAGTGTCCAAGCAGAGATGAGACACTATCAGATACATAAATAATAATCCCATCAGTGGTGAGAGCAATGAGAAAGCCATCTAGTGCCTAATGATAAAAGGCAGGCAAAAAGAAAAAAATAAAAAGAATTATGCAAGGGAACAACTTAAAATATAATAGGCTAATTTGTTCTTTGGTGATGCTTCTAACAGCCTAAAACTAACATAAGTCAATTATGGAAATGATAGTTCAATGCGGAAAAATAAAAATTACACATGCTGTCTAATTCAACATTCCTCTTATATTCTTATTGGCTCATTAATATTAAATTGAGTTGTATTTTTCACCCAGTGAGTATTTATTTAACATGAAGCAAGACAGCGGTCGTTAAAATTTCTACACCCACACAATCTTGGTGACTTCAGTCATTTCATTATGTGTTCTGAATTACACAATTTGGTGCGTAAGGAGATGTTAGATATCATCACAGCAAACCCAGCATTGTGGATGGATGGATGGACGGATGGGTAGATGGATGGATGGATGGGTGGATAGGTGGATGGGTGGATGGACAGATGGATGGATAAGCAGAGACAGAAAAATTATACAATGCTGTATTTTTAGCAATTTATGGACAATATGGACAAGATCTAAAGCCTTATTTATTTTGCTTAAAGCACTCATTTGTTAGGCTAGTGACACAACAATTTTAAAGTTTGTTTTGTTTCCCCTTTCTTATTCGCAATGGTTTCTGTCCCAGAGCCAAAGTTCGCTGTCCCTTTTAAGTCACTGCATGTGCTCTCCTCTTTGGGTGTTCTCCTTATTCTTCACAACCTCTTGTACCATTGACTCTGTCTACTCTGCCTTTGCAGAAAATAAGCCCTCTCTGGAAAAAACCCACTGATTTTAAGTAAACTGGTCAACAGTCTAACGTAGTCCAGCAAGCCAACCGTTATTAAAGGGCTCTCTCTCCCCTGCCACTTTTAAGGGGGGAATTTGTTTTGATTCAGCTGGAACAAACTAGCTTGTTTGGTGAGAGAAATTCCCAGAAAGAATGAACTGACTTTTCCAGGGGGGCGAGTCACGATGTCCTGATGAAAAGGAATAGCTAAGACACTGCAGCACCTCCCAGCTCAGCCCAGCATACACCCTTGTTTTGGTGGGGCAAAGAGCAACAGCTGCCCACGCAGGGTAGGAGATGTCCTCACGAGAGGAGCATGCAGCACAAACCCAAAGCAGCATCCTTAAGAAAGGGAAAAACGTAGGCTCATGGGGTGTTTCTAGATCAGCTAAGCATTTTACAGGTGAAAGTATCAGAGCTGTTCTCCCGAATCCACTTAAAGGCAATTCAAGCAAAAGACACAGCTCTCATCCCAAGTACAGCACCGCACAGCTAGCAGCAGCAAAGGCAGCAAAGTAAATGCTGCCTGGCTAATGGGATGTGGGAGGACGAGAGCTGCTCTGGTTTTTTCAGGTCCTTTCAAGTTTTTGCTAAAACTGCCAGCTCTAGTGGCTCTTCTGAGAAGGGAAATTCTCTTTTTCCTCTGTCACCAGGCCAAATCCGGGCCAAACTGGTCTTCATTCCTAAACGAAAAGCTGTTTATCTTTAAGGGGAAGCAATCATATTTTTAATTCTGTGTCTGCAAAGCATTTACCACAACATTGGTCTCTGTCAGGTTTGGATTATTTGTGCCAGCAGAGTAGAAATCATTAACATTAGCATTGTGACCTACAGGTGAAAAGGAACTATATCTCTGAACTACTCCACTGAACTGATTACTTCTCACTAATCTATGCAGCTTTAATTTCTTCTTACCTCTAACATCAACTGGGTGAACTCCTCGTTGCTAAGAAATGAAGGCTTCCAGTCTTGTCTAATCTCACAGGCTTCTGTCTGTGCTGTGATTTCTTAAAGAGAAAACATCAAAAAAGCAACATGACTCATGCTAGTTGGAATTTTTTTTCGTTTTCAAGTAACACTAGATTTCTTTTAAGAGGCTTTCGGAGGAATCATCCTCAGATCATTCTCCACACAAAGCCTTCTTGTATGCAACAGTCATTTTCCACGCCATCACAATACAAATGCATTAGAAATCAAGAAAAGGAAGAGGAGACATTTTGGGTGGTCTGAAGAAATCCTTAAAAAATAAGGTCAACGGGCTAATTTCAGAGTAGCTGAGCATCACTGTGAGCAGAGGGTGTCCGTGACTCTGGAGCTGTTTCAGCAAGGCTCACGGGAGTGCCCAGGCAGCAGGACAGGCTGCACCCAGCCATGTCCTACCCCAGGAGACCTGGGAACAGGGCACAGAAACCCCTTTCCCCTGGCTTTTGTAGTGCATGCTGTTCCTCAGCTCTTCCTCCCTCATGCTTTGTTTGAGAGGGTACAAAGTGTGCCAGGGGCTGCGGAGATGGAGCCACGTCACTACATTAAAAAGTATATAGCACTGCATCTTTTCAAGTATATCTATGTTTAGCTGGTCAGCACTGTATTCAAACCTAGCCCATTTCCTGAGGCCAACAGCTATGCCTTATTCTGCCCCTTGCTTAGGTTCATTCCCTCTCTGGAGGTCTTAGATGCTTGGAAAAAACAGTTTTCATCTTCTGAGTGGAAACTGGCTGCTGGGCAAACGCAGAGCCAGTGCCTTCAATGGGAGCATGCCAGCGCCCTCCAGTACCTTTCTGTTTCTGTAAGAAGTCGATGGTCCTCTGCAGTATTGTGGACTTGTCCATCTTGAGAGGGTGGCCATGGCCCTGCAGCATCGTGCAAAGCTCTTTAATGAGGACATTGAACTGGTCTCTCCTCTTCTTTTCGGATTTGTTGCGGGATGCCCTGGGTGACAGAAACATAAATGCCGCTAAGTAAAAAGAAGGACATACAGCTCGACCCAAGGAGAGGTAAATGGCCCTGCCTCAGCAAAACACTTTAAAGACAAGAATCTAAACTCTGTTGGGACTGCTCATTTGTTTAAAATTAGGCTCGGGTGTAAGCGCCTTGCTGGTGCCTAGAGCCCTGCAGCAGGACCGAGCTCGCTGTCAGCAAGCAATGCCTGGAGGTAACAAATACGATTTACATCCATTTGAGCAAGACTGCATCCTTACGTACACTTCAGCGGCAGTTCCCACTGTTTCAAAAGTGGTGACAACGAGGTGAAGGTGTTATGGGCAAAATTTCCCCAGTAAGAGAAGTCCTGGCATCTACACGCTCTTGTTTTGCCCACCTCATTTTTATGAACTTTTGCTTTGCAGTTAGTACACACATATAAAGGTCAAAATGCAAAGGATTCCTTATTCCCTGACTTAGCTTACAGGCAGACAATACTGTGCAGAGACATCTCAACTGCAGAATGAAGTCAAGCACATGCTCTTGTATCTGGCTTTGAAAATCTGCTGCCATGAGATATGAAACTGGCAATGTTAAGAGTCTGGCTGCAGAAACCACAGACAAGTTTCCAGCTTGCATTAATACAATTTAAGAGTGTTTTATTAGGGTTTTCCCCTCCATTAAAAACAATAAAGGAGAAAGCAAATCCATTCAGTTTCTTCCAAAATGTTCTTTCCAATGCTCATATCTGAGATAACCCTATTTTCATACAATCTCTTCCAGCAGTAATTAATTTTCTTTTCAAGTGTATTCATGATGATACATGCTTCCTGTGATCTAGAGCGAGTGTGGTATGCAGAAAGCATTTCCCTTTGTATTCAGACTGGCATTTGGAGGTTCTCAGATCCAGCATTTATGTTCACAGTTTTGGCACTCGTGTACGATGACTAATGAGAACTGAGCCAAATACTCCTCTGAAGGGAGACTAACTCATACCTGTGCTAAAGCAGGACTGCTCTCTAAGTTTCACGGGGAACTCTACCCCAGGTGGGCAGCACTGCATGAAGTCAGTAAAATCACAGGTCAGGAGTCCTGCATCAAGATAATAAATAGCCATGGGATAACACGAGATTCTGAGGCCACGACAACGTAATTTAAGGACCACTCAGCTGACTAACCCACTGTAGGGGTGGTCAAACACACTATGAGAAGCTTGAATATAGTGACTTAATTATGCTGTTTGTGGTCCGCTATACACGGCCTGTAAACTGCATGGGGGTTTCCCTCTGACATCAGTGGTCCCAAGTACTTTTTCAAGCATTGGACAACACAACATTCACAATTCTCCCCTGAGAGAGCTTCCACTCTCAGTGCTCTCTGCATCCCTTCATACCTCTTTGCTCTGTCCTTCTCATCTTCATCCATCAGTTCGTTTACACAACACAGGGCTCTGGAAGGAAAAGACAGAAGTACTTACTGAGACATATTCTCTGATCTTGTTGAGTATGCCAGAATATGGAGCTTACTTTGTTTGTACTCTGTAACCTCCTGGATGTTTCAATCTTCCCGTTCCCAAACTCCACTCTTGTTAGGTAGTTTCTTGCTTGTTCTGTCAGCTACTGAGGCTTGAGATGTGAAACTGGTGCTATACGCCTAAACATACAGCTACAATAAGTGTGACTTTAGAGGGAAAGCGCTAAGAGCCAGCAGCCCGTCAGCCTGCCTTTGCACTCCCCTCTGCCACAGGATGGGGAACCCTGCCGAAGCACTGAACGCTGCACAGGAATCAGCATCGTCTCTGCAAATGTGAGAGACAATTTGTCTGTACCAGGCAGCACTGTGCCTGGTCCTGTTTTGGGAAATCAAACAGGCTACTGGTTGATTTCAAGCATTGCAATGCTTAAAAAGCATCTGAGATTTCTTTCCCAGTGGAAGGGCATAGGAGGAAGAAGGAAACTGTGCTAATCCCCCAAAGGATTAGTATTAGGCAACAGCAGGGTACTATCAGGACACCTAAGAGATGGTATGATAGACAGGTTCATCCAAAGCACCCTGCAGCTAATGACTGCTGCTTGCACTGGTGGACTTCCACCACATCATCTGAGCTGCGTCCTACCCCTGGGATTCATACCCAAAACTTCAAGTTAAAACTTCCTCCCCTGGCACTAACCAGTGAAAAGAAGGGAATGTGACCTGGGTTCCCTGGCTTCTCTATGTCCCTGCACCAGAACAGTCACTGTGGGCTCCTGTGTTTACTTTATCTTAACCATTCCTGTAGCACACGTAAGGAGAACAGTTGGCAACAACTCCCAGTAAGGACATGGTACTCTCAAGCCCTGTGAAATGACGGGAAATTCAACTTGAGGTTAACTTCTTCGCTGGTGACTTGCTTTCTGTGACTCAGATGGGCTAAGTCTGAGGGACAGGGAGCCAGGCAGATGCAGGCAAGCCAGTTGCCATCACTTTATGCCACATTGCCCAGGTCAGAACTGCTGGGTTGCACCCGCCTCAGACACCTCCACGGAGGAGATCACACCCATCCCCAGTATCAGCACCAATCTGCCTCCAGCTCTAGAGACCACTTTCACTGGCAAAACCCTCCCACGCCACCCAGCAGCCAAGGGACATTTTTCAGTGGGTACATCCAAACGTTTTTCCTTGCTTTGAGACTACTCCAAGCTCAAACAACTTGGTGGCTATAAAATAACATGAAATAAACCCATCCACAACTTACAGGATGTCAAAGATGCTGCTCACAGTAAAAGCTACAAAAATTTACCCTCCCTTTCCTGCTCCAGGGCAAGGATCTCCCTCTCTGCAGATGAGCTGGGCAGAAGAAACTGTATGATTTCTTTTGTCCCAAAATAGGAATGTACTCCATGTGGAGGGAGTGGTTCTCACTGCCTGAGTCACTGAAAGCTACAAGCCAAATTAGACATTACCTGTTCTATTCCTCAGATTCATCAGTCCAGACTGACGGAGTGGGATTAGCACTTATCACCATGTAAATAGAGATGGACAAAAATTAATCCTGGAAGGAAAAGCAAAACCAGTTCAAACACAGTTGCAGGCAAGACTTAGCCTAGAAAGCAGCAATCACTTCAAGCTGAAAAAGTCTACCACCCATAAATTAGAAACATGCTCAAGTATAACTGGTGAACGCTCAGCAAAGCCTCCAGGAAAGGGAGCTGGACCATGTTCTGGGGCTCCTGGCTCTGTATGCACCAGCTGCTGCCGCAGAAGAAGCCTGGAAGGCCAACTTGACTTCTCATGTACAAAAAGCTATATGGCCCAGCAAGGTGGAGGAATGGCCCAACTAGCTTGAGGCCACTGAGGATCGATCGGAGTCCTTCCAAAGTATGACAGTTTACGGAGCATGCATGCTATGAAAACAGCAAGTATGACCCATACTTCATCTATCCAATCTTGCAACAAAAAACCTCCTTCGAGATGAACATGATCACCTAAAGTCAGTGCAAGCCACAACCACCCACCTGTGGATTCAAGGCCTCCCACTAAGATTTGCTGCTGATGGGACACACACGTCTTTTTGTTTGCGATTTAACCGGTTACTTATGAACACCCCGAACTCTTGGCTGTACCCACACCACAGCGCCCATCTCTCTGAAACTGTCGCTGTTGAAATTTGTTTGGCTTCTGATGAGGCTCGTTCTCAGGAAGGATGCAGATGCAACCAGACCGTCCACGACTGACAGTGATATCTGCAACAACAGCCAAATGCTGGGCTTCCAAATTTAACAAGCTTTTAATGCCCTTGAAGTGACCTTCCCACCTTAAGCCCAGGTTCATGGCTGTTTCTCCTGTTACCATTAGTTCCAACATCAGCTCAAGACACTGCAAAAAACCTCGCTGCCACTACCAGGGATTACGTATTTGTGACCATGGTGAACAAGCAAAAATACTCCCCCATTTTTGATCATCTAAAGGACTAGCAAGAGCTTGTTCGTTTCTCCAACTAGTGGAAACACCGCAAAGGGAAGGAAACACAAGAAGGTGGCTGAAGAACCACTGCAAGAGACACAGGTCAGGCAGGCACGCTGGAAAGGGCAGCTGGGATGGGGCAGAGGCTGACAATGTGGGGCCGCTGCTGGACCATGAACGA